CGGACTATGGGGTGTACGTGCTCCCTACGTTATGGGGAGGTGGCCCTCTCGGTCGGCAGGGGCGGGAAAGTGAGGCGTTGGGAACGATCGATAAAAAAAAAAAAAAAAAAAAAAAAAAAAAAAAAAAAAATAATCTTAAGAGGGCATATTTTTATAGGAGCCATCTAAACAAGTTTCTTAACGAAGAATTGTCAAATGTACCGTTTACTACATTAAATGCCCAGAGAAGTTTAAAATTCGAGTCCTTCTAAAAAAACTTTTGAGACATTTTCAGAACATAGTTGAGAGTTATTTGGTTAATTAGAGACATATTCGTTGCATGGACAGGAGATCTTTTGAGAGGCTTCTGCTGACATATAGAACTCACTCAACAATTGTTTCAACTCATTTCAAAAAATTTTTAATTTTGTTGGTACCAATTCTATATTTTAAAATCAGTTAGTATTTCTATACATTACAAATGTGGTGCTTCGCTAATGAAGTACCAGACATATGAAGGTGTTCAATATTTTTAACAAACTTTATTTTAATTCTTACAAAATAATTAGGGATTAATTGTTGTTTTTATAAAAATAAAAACTCGAAAATGAACAAAAATGCCAACATTATTCTAATTATACCCTCAGCTATATGGCTAGAGAGGGTATATATCATTTGATACGGCCAAAACGTGCCTAGTCGAAATAACGGTTTTAGACCCTAGGTCTCTTGGGACCAAACCCGTTCCAGGACATTTTGAGCCGATCTAGCGATGTCCGTCCGTGTGTCTGTCCGTCTGTCTGGCTGGTGCGCACGATAACTCTCGAAGGGAGTATTCTTTTTGGTCCAAACTTGGCACATCGTAATATTTTTGTCAAACTTAGATCGAGTTCGGAGATGGGCAATATCGGTTCACTCCTTCTGGTACATCCCCCACAAAAGGACGAATTTTAAAAAAAAAATTATGTTCTGCACAGAAATAGAAACGATAATACGATTTTGCTTCAACTTTGAAAATCCTAATATTTGCGTCAGTGCTAGGTCCCCACAAAGGGTCAAAATTTTTAATAATTGCAACTCTTATAAAATACGATGTAAGAGTCCGATTGTATTCAAATTTCGCACATCCCAATATTTTTATCAACCCAAGATCTGGTGTTAAGATGGAACATATCGGTCCACTCCTTCTAGTACCTCCCCCACAAAAGGTCGAAATTTTCAAAAAAAAAAAATTATTTTTCAAAAAAAAAAAAAAAATATATTTATTTAATCCGATTTTACTTCAACTTTGCAAATCCTAATGTAACTATCAGTTTTAGGTCAGGTGCAAAAATGGATAATATTGGTCCACTCCATCAAGTACCTCCCTCACAAAGGGTCAAAGTTTTAAATAATTACAACTCTTAAAAATGTTATCTTCAAATTTCACAAATCCCAATAATTTTGTTAACCCAAGGTCTAGTGACAAAGTGGAATACATCGGTCCACTCTTTCTGGTACCTCGCCCATAAAACGTCGAATTTTTCGAAAAAGTAAAACAAAATACTTTCTGCACAGAAAGACAAGCAATAATCCGATTTTGCTCCGACTTTGCAAATCATAATATTTGCATCAGTTCTAGGTCAGGTGGAAAAATGGATAACATCGGTTAATTCAGTTGTAAAATGAGATTAGGATAATAAATCTCTCTCTCCCTCTCTCTCTTAACCGTTAACCCTGAATTCATCAAAGCATAGATATATGCTGCACAATTTTTGTTGGAGGCTGATCGACTGATGTAGAAGAAACGGCTGAAGCTAGAATCTTGAAATCTCGAGGGTGAGTCTTGGTTCGTAGGCGTGTGATAGTCCTGGATTTTTAGAAATTCCCACTAAAAGGGTACGAAAAGTACTAATATGTACTAATATGTACTAAACATTAAATACTTTGTACTGAACAACGGAATGAGCTGGACTACTGACATTTGGGATGAAAATCACTGATGCTGTGCAGGATGGAATTTTAATCGGAATTTCGAATTTTAAAGCTCAAAACTGGTACTAAACTTCTAAAATGATACCATTTAGATAGAGTTAAAAACTTAAAATTTGATATGAGATGTATGTATTTTAATATGGGAAGACGTTTTTGAAAATATGTACTAAGTGTACGAACTGTACTAAATAGTACAAAATATGGAACAGTTTGCTTTAGTGTGAACGACTAAAGGTAGAATCTTGAAATTTTGCCCAAAGGTCAGTCCAGGTGCATAGGCGTGTGATTAACCTGGATTTTTGTAAATTCCTACTAAAAGAGTACGAAAGGTACTAAAATGTACTAAAAATTGAATACTTTGTATCTGTCAAACGGAATGAGCTAGAAATCTGAAATTTGGAATGAGATTCACTGATGGAGTGCAGGATAGATTTACCAAAGATTTATGAAAATAGTGGTAAAATCTTGAAAATTGGTATGAGAATTGAGGTTAGAGGGAAAATTAGATATATGAAGCTGGTTTTGAAAATGTGTATTACAAGTACACGAAAAGTACTAAATAGTATTTTTTTATACAATTTGGTATTGGGTATTTTCACCCAGTGGTAGAAATCTGAAATTTGGTTTTGGGGTTGCTGTTTCTGTATAGCCTCGACATATAGCACGGAAATGTATACTATAATTGTACGAAAAGTACAAAATTGTACTAAATTGGGATCGAGATAAAATTCTGAAATTTGATACATTGATAACTGATGGCATCTTTGTTTGAGATTTTCCGGTGATTTGGAAATGCGTCCTATATTTGTACGAAATATACCAAATGGTACTAAATTTTGTATTGGGTGAAGGAACAGGGTTGGAATCCTCAAAGATTGCCATTAGAGATCTCTCTTAGTATCTGGAATTGAGATATGTGGGTGATTTTGGAAACGTGTACTATAATTGTACGAAAAGTACTAAATAATACTATATTTGTTATTGGGTGAAGGAACAGAGCTTGAATTCTGAAATTTGGCATTAAGGTCACTGTTGGTGTCTGTGTTTAGGATATGGAGGTGGTATTGGAAATTTGTACTATATTTGTACGAAAAGTAATAAATGGTACTAATTTTGGTATTGAACAAAGGAATATAGATGAAATCCTTAAATTTGATATAGAAGTCTCCGTTGGTACCTGAAATTGAGATATGGGGGTGATTTTGGAAATGAGTACTATAATTGTAAGAAAAGTACTAAATAGCACTAAATTTGGTATTGGGTGAGGGGATATGGTTGGAATCCTCAATCTGTTGGTATTTAGAATTAAGGTGGCGATTTTAGAAATGAGTTCTACAATTGTAAGAAAAGTACTAAATTTGGTATTGGGCTATGGAAAACTTCTGAAATTTGATATTTTGATTACTGATGGCACTGTTGTATCAGAATTGTTCGAAAAGTATTAAATGGTACTAATTTTGGTATTTGGTGAAGGAATAGAACTGGAATCCCGAAATTTGATATTGAATTCTCTTTTGGTTTCTGGACTTGAGATACGGTGGTGTTTTCGCAAATGGGTACTATATTTGTACGAAACGTACTAAATTTGGTATTGGGTGAAGAAATAGAGCTGAAATCCTGACATTTGATATAGATGTTACAGTAGGTTCTTTGATTATGATATTGGTATTGGAAATGTGTTCCGTAATTGTTCGAAAAGTGGTACTTAATTTGGAACTAAGGTTCTGTTGGTAACTGGGATTCAGGTATGGAGGTGGTTCTGGAAATGCGTACTATATTTGTACTAAATGGTACAAAATTTGGTAAAATTTGATGTGAATGCAACTGTTGGTGTCTGTAGTTGAGAGAAGGAGGTAGTTTTAAAAATTCGTACTATGAACGCACGAGAAGTGCAAAATGCCACAAAATGTGCCGTTGTGTGTAGGGATAGAGATGGAATTCTGAAATTTGGTATCGAGGTCAATGTTGATGTATGTGGTTGAGGGAAAGATCTCGTTTTGGACATGCGTAATATAACTGTACGTAAAGTGTGGTTACAAATTTGGGATTAGATCTTAGGATAAAGTGGGATTTCAGAAATTTGATATGAAGGCCACTGTTGGTGTATAGTTTTGAGAGAAGGCGCTGAATTTGGGAATGCGTAACATGATTGTCTGAAAAGTACTAAATGGTACTAAACTTGGTTAGAGCTTGAATCCTGAAATTTTTGTATTGAGGTCACTGTTGGTTTTCTAGGATTTAGATATGGTGCTGGCCAATTTTTATTAATAAAAGACGTTGAAATATGGTTTTGGTCAGAAAAATTGGATGTGTGAACCACTCTGTAAGGGTTTAACTAAAATGTTCTTCGCTAAACTTAAAAACGAAATATTTTGATGAACAACTCTAGTTTTATAAAAATTCTCGATTTTTTAAATTTTTTTTTTTTCAGAGATAGATATTTGTACGGTGATTCCGAAAAAGTATTTATTGGGGGACAAACAGGGATACCCAGAAATTAGACCCAAAAATCTGGGTCCAAGACTTAGACAATATATATATAATTTGAAAGATAATGAAAATACCTATCCAACAAATGGTCACATGGAATTTGAAACGACTCGAAAATTATATCTAGATTAACGATTTTTTGAACCCGAATTAAAAAAAAAATCTGAGACACTAGTTTAGTAAAACTAGAGTTTATTCAAAAAAGACAGTTGAAAATTTAGTACGATGTATGAAGTTTTGTTTGGAAATTTAATCAAATTGTGCATTTTGGGTACTAAAATGAACGGGCGGGACGATTTTAAGTTTTTAAGGTGGACTTGCTTACAAAGAGACTTTGATATATTTTAGACATTTTTGTTCCTATTAAATGAAGAAATTTATAGATGATATTTATTGATCTACTCCTTGTAGCTACCTTTCGGAAGCCCATTATTTTTTTCCTTATTTCCTATATTTTTACAACTTAAAATCAACTTAATATATCAATCGAATTAACATTTCCACGTAAAAAAAATTGTCTCATTTATTTATGTCACTTCTTTTTTTGTTGCAGAATAAAAAGTCACAAAGTGATGGAAAAACTTCCGGTTCCGACAAATCACCAAAAACCATAAATAACAACAACAGTAGCACCGCTAATGGTAATATTTGCGGAAAACATTCGTCCTCATCAAGCAGCAAAACTAACTGGAAGGTAAGTTTCACCGCAAAAAGAAGAAAAAAAAAACTTCAGACTTCAGTTCCGAGGCATAGAGTGAAAACATGTTAACACATAACGTTGCTATGTTGGTACCCACCTCCCCTCCTCCACCTCGCATATGGCGTGCAAGTGGGTGTTGTTGTTATGCCGCTGTCAATGTTAACACGCTTTTTCGTCAATCGATTCGCTGAGCAGAGCAATGCGTGTGAAATGCAGCGCATTTAAGAAGCGTGCAACATATGCCACGCACTAGTTTTTAATTGCTGGGTTATGCTACCACATGGAATAGGGATGCCGTTGGAGAAAAATTGGTCGGATTTTTTTATTATTTCAAAAAAAATATATAAGTTTCTCAAAATTAAAACTAGGTTCAATATTTGTTAGATATGAAAGTAGCTTTTTTGAAAACTAGTCAATTTTTTGGAATAAAAATTTAATTAAAAAATGTTCGCGGGATATTTTAAAAAATTCCAGTTACGAAAATTAATTAAGAAACGACAAGCCTACATTAAAACTGCATTTGGGTGATATAAATAAAGGCACATATCTATTATGTACATCCATATGTAGCAAATGATGAATTGAATATTGAGTAGCCAGTCAGTCAGCGAGCCAGTCGCTGGTAAAAATGCGTCGCTGCAGACACATAAGGAAACCCAATTTTTTATTTGCACTTTGCTTCGTGATGTTCCAGCGAAGAAAACGCAATGAAAAATATCAGCCGCAACAAAAACAACAACAACAACGAAGAAAAGTAATGCGGAACTCTTAGCCACATCCTCATACATATATTTTGCATTAATGCAATAATACGTTCATGTTCCAGTAACATTTGACCCCATACCAAAAACGCCACGGAAGAAAGAAACTGATAATTTATTAATACACTCGAAGAAAAAGAGGGGTTCAATGAACAAATTATTGTCGGGGGAAATGAATCATTTCGGTTAGGGAAGGTATTACAGTTAAAAATAACCATATTAAAAAAAAAGCTGATTACAAATTGTCTCATTTGAAGCCAAGACAAGTAAAAAAGCTGTAAGTTCGGCCGGGTCGAACTTTGAATACCCTCCACCATTTGGAACGAATTTGGCAATTCTCAAAAACTTTTTGGCGAATGCCTTTTGTCATAAGCCATTACAATATTCAAATGCGAAACTTAAAATCGGTGAATAATATAGCTAAAGTCATCAAAATACCGAATATCGGAAGGTGCCGTTATATGGAGGCTATACAAAGATGTGGACCTGCACAGACAATTTTCTGTCTTAGGCTGTAGTATTTATTGCGAACTTCAAATACCAAATTTGAATCAATTCCGGTGAACAATGCCGCTAAAATCATGAAAATACCGAATATCGGGAGGTAACTTATATGGGGGCAATACGAAGACGTGGACCTGCACAGACAAATTTCTGTCTTAGGCTGAAGTATCTATTACGAACTTCAAATACCAAATTTGAAACAATTCCTCTAAAATCATCAATATACCGAATATCGGGAGGTACCTTTATATGGGGGCTATATGAAGACGTGGACCTTCACAGACAATCTCCTGTCATAGGCTGTAGCACCCATTATGAACATCAAATACCAAATTTGGAATAATTCTGATGAATATTGTCGCTAAAATCATTAAAATACCGAATATCGGGAGGTACCGTTATATAGGGGCTATACCGAAACGTGGACCTACATGGCCCATTTTCAATACCAAAAGTTTTGTAGACATAATATACATTTGAGTATAATTTTATCAACCTACTTCAGTTCGTTCGGTAGCTAAATCGACATAGAATTTTATGCTGATCAAGAATATATACTTTGTGGGGTCTAAAATTATATTTCGAGGTATTACAAACGGAATGACAAACTTAATATATCCTCCACATTATGGAGAAGGGTATAAAATAACTACATATTTCGAGCCATATGCCCTGATTAAAATAATCCTATTTGTAATCCAGTCTATGTTTGGGAGCCACATGAGAGTTGTTTTGTGGAATACCTATAATCTCTGTTTCGTATGTGACCTTAAAATGACATCAATATTACCATGTGCTAAATTTAGACCACATCGGATAGTCCTTTTGCTTTATATGACACATATATCTTTTAAAATTTTGAATTTTTAGGGGTACAAGAAATATAGGACAGATATTGCCCTACATCGAACTCGATCTAAGCTTTGTAAAAATATTACGATTTCCCAAGTTTGGACCAAATCAGATACTCCCTTCGAACGCATCAGGGTGAAAGACAGAAAGATCGAGTCTAAATATTCAGAGAGACAGGACATAAGGCTGGGAGTATGATTCTTCATTTCTTCGTTTGATTTTGTGTTTTTACTAGCTACTTCGTCAGCGAAAAGTCCACTTTGGATCTTAAGATTTGTTCCACGAGTTCATTTTAGTACTCAAAATTCAAAATTTGTTCAAATTTCCAAACAAAGTTCAAGATTTTCGTTTATCGAGAAAATTTCAAAATCTTTCGTTTAGAAGTCTACCGAAGAGCATATTAGTTGAACACTTGCCCAATGGTTCCACATCCCATTTTTCTGGTAAAAAATATTTTTCAATGTATTTTCATACTAAAAATTGGCAGCCATCATATCTAAATTCTAGAAACCACCAGAGACCTCGATATCAAATTTCAGGATTCAAATCTATTCAGATTTAGTACCATTTAGTACTTTTCGAACAATCATAGTATGCATTCCCAAATATACCTCCATCTCTCAAAACGATATACCCACATCAAAATTAAGAATTCCAGGTTTATCCTAAGACCCAATCTCAAATTTATTACCATTACCAGTTATACTACGAATGTTCAAAATAACCCTTTTTTCTCTACCTAAGACACCAACAGTGGCACCCAATGGCACATTTTGTGGCATTTTGCACTTTTCGTACGTTGATGGTGCTAATTTCCAAAAGCACTATCTTCTCTCAACTACAGACACCATCCATTTCAAATATCGGAATTTCAGGTTTCTCTCTCTCTCTCTCTCTCTCTCTTTACCCAACACCTAATTTAGTACCACTTAGTACTTTTGGAACAATTATAATTCACGTTTTCAAAACAATCTCCATATCTCAACTGCAGATACCAATAGTGACCTTAATATCAAGTTTTAGGATTTTAGTTTTTAATTTCCCCCGTTGCCAAATTTGGTACAATTTTAGTACCATTTCCAATACTATCTCCATATCTTAACCAAAGACATCAACAGTGATATCTATATCAAAATTCAGGATTTTAGCTATGTTCCTTCATCCAATACCAAATTTAGTACCACTTAGTACCTTTCGAACAATTATGGAAACCACCTACATATCTCAACCGACAGAGACCTCAATTTCGAATTTGAAGATTCCAGCCGTATACCCTCACCCAATACAAAAGTTAGTATCATTAAGTACTTTTCGTACAAATACAAGACGCATTTCCAAATCACCGACAAATCTCAAAAACAGTTGCAATCAATAATTAAAATATTATATTTAAAAATTTTAACTCTATTCCCTCACCCAATACCAAATATAGTACCATTCAGTACTTTTCGTACATTTATAGTATGCGTTTCCAACATCAGATAAATATCTTAACTGCAGATACCAGCAGAGACTTCAATATTGAATTTCGGAATTCCAGATCTAATCCTTTGCCCAATACCCATGTTAATACCACTTAGTACTTGTCGAACAATTATGGTATACTTTTCCAATACCACTTCTATATCTTAACCATAGAGTCCACGGTGTCATCTATATCAAATTTCAGGATCTCAGCTCTGTTTCTTTACCGAATACCAAATTTAGTACGTTTTGTAAAATAAAGTACACATTTGCAAAACCACCTCCATATCTTACCAACAGTGATATCAATATCAAATTTGAGGGTTATAGTCCAATCCTTTCACCCAATACTATTAATTAGTACCATTTAATTCTCTTTGTGTGAATATAGGACGCATTTCCAAACCACTGCAAAATCTCAAAACACAGATACAATCGGTAATTTAAATATCAAATTTTAGAATGTTATCCCTATCCCTTCAGCCAGTACCAAATATAGTACTATTCAGCACTTTTCCAACACCATATGTCCACATGGACAACGACCAAAATATATACTATAACCACATTTCATATTTCAAACACTAGATTTTCACTCAATACCAAATTGTACCAAATATAGTACTGTTTAGTATTTTTCGTACACTTCTAGTCGCCATTTCCAAAACCACCCCTTTATCACAAACCTACCATCAAGAGGGACCCAATACAAAATTTAAAATTCTTCATTCATCCATTTCAAATTTAGTACCAGTATGTTTAGTATAGTTCGGACAGTTAGTACACATTTCCAAACCCCATTTCATGTACATTCAATTATTTTCCAACCTTGATTCTCATATTAAATTTCAGCTCTAAATTTTAAATTTTAGCTCTATCCGTTCATATAATACTAAATGGTATCATTTTAGAAGTTTAGGACAATTTTGAAACTTTTCGTAATCTCAAAATTCGAAAAACCCTGAAACCCTTAGGTACACCTTTCGTGTACTTCACTAGTGACTCCCATTACAAATTTCAGAATTCAAGCTCATTCCGTTTTTGTACAATTTAGTAATTTTCGTACCCTTTTAGTACGAATTTCCAAAGACCCAGTCTCATTACTCTCCTACGCACCAAGATTGACCTTCGTGCAACATTTCAAGATAATTCTAGATCAGTCAGTCAGTTATTCCAGAGCTCTTTCATATATCTGGGGTGTTTTTATGAGGTTTTTTTAATACGCATCACTCTGACAGCAGTTTTGACAGTTTGAATTATATTTAAATGACAAAAAAATAAAAATTATTTTTTTGGCCATTTCATAATTTGGCTCTTAGGAAAACACCGTTTAGATACAAAATTTTTATGATGGTACTTTTTTTTGATGAATTTTACATTTTCTACTCCAATATTATGACTTTTTTAAAAATC